TCTGACCAGATGTCACAGAATTAACCAATCAGAAGTCGGTGTGCTTTGCAAGCACACACGAGCCCGGATTGGCCCATTTCTATTGATGTGCTAGCCGCACACACATGCACACAAGCTACAGGTAAGATAGATTCACACGCGTGCACGTGCTGTGAGTGTGTTTACATTGTGGTAGGCGAAAAAAAAAATATACCGACTAAGACAATGCCCAGAGTCGTCCGCTTCAAATCTCTCGACCTTGGTAAGCCCGCTTTCCTTGCTTGTGTTTTGTGAAATTTGCAAGAAAAATTTCCCTTATTGTTGTTTCACTACTTCCCTCTCCTTTCTTTAAAAGTGTTAAGAGTTCTTCCCTGGGTTTTTGCCTCTATTTTTTGATTTCGAAGCCCTCGTTCTGCTAGCTGGCTAAAAATGGAGAGGTTCGCTTATTGTTAATTCCACCGAATCCTTCACTTTGACCTGCCTCTATCAAATGCTACCCTCCTGGCTATCATGTGATGTTGTTCGGTGGGCTTGCCAACCAATCACAAAATACGTGGAAGTGGCAATATATGCGACTGACCTTTTAACTTATTTTTTTTTGCGATTAAGCTGACCTCATTAGTATCCCTATCATATGAAGCGCTTTTTGTGCAATTAGAGAATACACAATTGCTTTTCTTTACCACTCGGTTTACTCGTGTTAGACTGAACACTTTTCCACCGATAAAATGTTTGATGACTGAAGCGTTTTAATTTGACGTTGATGGCATTCCCAAACCCTTCTGAGTGTTTGCAAATCACTAAGCGAGAATCGGATGTGACATTATGGCACTTCCTTTCGTATGCACCAGATTATCCGTTTTGATTGACATTTCCCGTTTCCTAATGGGGGAGGTCATCAAATACGTGCTTGGTATGCATAAGCTTCTTCCTTTCCTTACTTAGGCAAGGAATTTGGCATTTTTAGCAGATTTTGTTGAAAAGAAGTGCGTATTCTAGAGGAGAATACAACTTCTGTGGTGTAATTGACAAGACTCCAGACTCCTCTTTTCACCCCCAACTCGCTTCGCCTGTTGTGACACCTGCCTCTTCTGACTTATTGGCAAGTTTCGCGAATTAGGTGGCAGTTGATACTGAGAGAGAGAAGTAAATTGGTCGACATGGATTGCCACTTGCTATGAACGCGTCGAAAAAAATCGTCTCAAAGCCGTTCTCGCGTAATTCAGTATATGGAAGTGTCGTGTTTCCTTGGGGAGACCCAAACATGACTACCACTGATTTGAGGTTAGGTCGCGGTTTCCAAAATTTCCTTTTTTCCCTTACGTTCCTACAAGTTGTTTCCCAAAATGGCATCCAACCGAATTGACTTTTGTCTGTCCTTCACAGTCAAAAACTTGATCAAAATAGGAAATACTTCTGATTAGACTTCTTACATTTTTGTCTCAAAGCATGACAAGTTCCCTCAAAAATTGATTGATTGATCTGTCACTTTGAAATAAGCCCAAACCACCATCCGTGCCTCGAGGGGTTGGAGGATCGACAGCATGGCAGCCCCAACAAAGACCATAAATTGCTGTCTTGGTCCTAAAAGAGGTGTTTCTTGGACCTTCAACAATCTGATGGTCTCTTCATCCTTACATGAATTGCGCATTCACTTCCTTCTTAGCTGTATTTCAGCGCGTCTGTCGCCTTTTTGCTCGTCAGTCAGGGAGACAGTTCTGACGACCAAGTAGAGGGGATATCGCTTTCTCCTCTTTGTTCATACAGTGTCAAATTTTTGGCAGTGACGCCTCACAAAAAAGGATTCTTGGGAGTCCCCACAATAGGGTATACTGTACTGTTGTTTTGCAGTGCCATGAGTCCCCTCCCCCTCCGCCCGTAGCCGTAAAAGGACTGATTGAATGTTTGTGTATAGAAAGGCGCATAAGAGAAAAGTACAAACCGCAGAGGTTGAAGAACCCGCATCGTAGTGTGTTAGAGCGCAGCACACACTGCACTACCACTCTCCTGCTTCGGCTCTACTGGGTTGTCTGCGTGAAGTGCAAGCAACCGAGAGATAGGTTTTAAGCTGAAAAGGGCAGTAAGGAGGCGAAGGTTGTCTTCAGGAAGTACTGAGTTTGAGCAAATCGCCTTCGCTGCATTTTAAATGCCTGCGTGGTCAAAGGAGAATTTAGACAGCTGTCGCCACCCTTGGATCCATGCCAAAATCCGTTCCATTGCATCCCCTTTTTCTTGTTTGATCATTTTGATCCCAAAAGAAATATTTGGACGAGTAGTTTGATGGACGGGTGATTAGGTGAGTCGGTGAATACTTCGCTGAATAGATGATTGATTAGGCAAGTAATCATTCATTTGGTGGATTAATTGACGGGCCTGCGATGATCACAGATAGGAAGGCTATCGAGACTTGTGGTGGATGTGGACGGGCCCTTCTCCGGAGAAGAGGAAAAAATACCGCAAATCTCTTTCGCAAATCACCCATAGGTCTACTTATCGAAATATAAGTAGTACAACGGACTGTTTATTACTTAATTGAATATGAAAGTTCGTCTTTATTTTCTCCTTGTAAGTCAGCACTTATTAAAGGCAGGTGCAATTACCTTTTCCCCCAAGAAATTGGCATTTAAGCAGCATATTCTCCAAGTACTTGTCACCTCTTTCAAGTGGGCGCAGCCTATTTTGTTTTTTCCGAAAAACTAATAGAAGTTTCACTCGCATTGAAGGGGTTGCAAGCGGGCGCTTTTGTTTCACTGGGGGAAATGTTTTTTAATTCTTTCGGGAGAGAAATGCAACAAATTCAGGTGGCATATTTACAATTTTTTGCCTTAGAAACTTATTTTGACCAAACATATTTTGTAGGATCCAAAAGGAGAACACCGATAGTTGTGAAGCTCTTTTTAACAAGATTTTAAGTTTTCGCAAAGTTTACTTTTGTTTTAATATATGATCTCCAAACTAGTCAGTTTCCCTTATTTTTATTGGCTGCCTCTTTTACTTAAACCTGATTGGACAGCTGGTGACAAGATTCCAGGTTTTCTAAATATTGATTTTCCCTTCAGCACCTGACTTCGCCCGCAGTTGTCCTGATCACGAGCCCATGAATTGTTTGGGTCTCATGAGTGAACTCATGTCTGCTGTGGACATTCTTTCTGGTACGTTAACTCTGCGCCTACTTAAATACGCAATATAAGTAGCATTGTCATAATTGCTACCCATAATTTATTACTGGTTTGAGTTAGCACAACTCCAAATTTGTACTGAATGAGGTGGCTGAAATGGCTTTAAGCAGCTTTCTTCAAATTTATTTTCAGCTCGGCAGAATCAGTGGTGTTCCTCGAATGATGCCAAGAGCACAATTCAGGTGTTGAAGGCGGCGCAGAGTTCGACGCTGCTGTTTGTTCAAAAATCGGTGGATGAGGTGAGTTATTGGGAGGGAAAATTGACTACAGATGTTCCACCTTGATCACCTCCAGAGTGGATGCACTGAACCCGTCTCGTGGTTCTCGAGGCGGCCAATCCATCATAAAGCCCGAGCGGTGCATGAGACCAGGGTGGTTATTCAATTCAGTGGATGCCTAGTTCACTATCAAAGGTAAACACATCTGTTCACTGTAGTTTGGGGTGTGGATTTGAACATATAGCCAAGTCAACGCACACGCGCAGGGGGTGTAAGTGAGTGTATAGTCGGTCAAATCTGCCTGTTTTTTGTGTATGTGCGCGTGCACTTGTGAGGCAGGATGAAAGGCATCAACGTCCCTTCTCCCCTCTTCGCATGTGTGTTTTTGATAAACAGCTCGTCAAATTACACTCACCCCGTGGTCCATTTCTCAATCTAGCCGTCAGTTTATCGGTCCACCTTTAAACAACCTAGCGGGTCATTCAGACCTGCCTGGTTGTTCGTCTACCTTTTCATCCCTCTTTCAATTGACCCAATTCCACCTGATCAGGCGATTCAAATTTGGCGCCAACTTTTTCCATGAACGACCTCTAGGAATTGCTTTCATAGGGAATCGACGGAAGAGGTGGAAGCATAGAGGAACAGATGTTCGCAACAGAGGAAAAGTTACCAAGACGATGCGCAGAATTCGCAACCATCTCGATGCGATTCGCTGAGCGGTCATCTAAGTAGTATTGTCCGCGTTGCCGAATGAGTAGTAGGATGTTCGGCTAGTCTACTGACAAGTCATTTGAGTAGCACGCCTTTAATGGCTGCTTTTATCCTCTTTTAGGTAGATGAAGAGGCGGGTAAACCAAAGGATCTTCGATACTTCGGTAGGCCCTCCGAACCTCATTTAACTTCACCATATTCACATATTTTAATCCTTTCGGTAATTGCATATTAGACGAGGACTCCGCCTGCTCCGTGTTCTTCAAACACTCCACCTGTTACGATGTGTTGCCGGAGAGTGGAAAACTTCTTGTTGTGGACTCCACTCTCCCGGTGAGTGCTCTTAAGCACCCCAAAGTAGTTATCGAGTCAGAACAATTGTCCAATTATTATCTAACAAGCTGAACTTTGTACTATTTCTACGAAAGCGGCTGGAAATTTATTGGTGGTAAGGTTTTTGCGTCACCGTCCAGAAATTTGGTAATGCTTCCATCTACCTGTTTGCTAGATTTCTTAACTGACCTCTTAATCGCAGGCGTGAGACAAGCAGTTGTTCGACGTCCAATTCACATTGAATTATTATCCATTTATTTTGAAGATTCGCCGGGCTATGCAGGCTTTAATAGATCACTCGTTGGCCGCTGCTCCGGTTTGGTGCAGTCGCCTTCAATGTTACACCCAGTTGCTCACAACTGGTCTCTGCCTTCGTCTCCTCGCCCAAGCCTTTCCCCTCACCACCCCCACCACACCGACTGATAGCACTGAAGACGACCTGGCGACCAAGAGAAACACCGATCCCGCAATCACTATGGGGTACTGGGAGGAGAAAACTATAGGCAGTGTATTAAGTACGGTTGCGAAATAAGCCGCCCATTTCGTTTCATTCCAGTAGGTGTTCTTTTTTTACTGCCTTATGGCCCCCTCACTCTCGGTAGACACATTCTTCAATTGGGCTCATTCTGAGTGTCCTCAGGAAGCAGTTCCAGAAACGGTTACCATCGTAGCGCCACAGGACCACCTCTACGGTGTCACGCGGATCCTCACTCTCGCGACATCTGTCCCTGTCAAGGGGTCCGCTTCCAACTCGAACGTGTCACCGCCGCCCCGCTACGTTCTGATCGCGGATCGATATGGAAGCGGAAATTTACTAGGTCTATTAAATACCGACCGGCTGTTGGCGTATTTGCGAGTGCGGATGAGAAACCTGCCCACTCCTAGCACTCTTAATGTGAGTGATGATACTACTTATGCGGAGTTCTCAGTAGCTAGTGCTTTGGGCCAGTGTTGTTCGTCCCTTTTGAGGTGACTGCGGCCTCAGCCTAAGATGCAGTACTTCTTTCAAGTTTAACACATTTTTCTGGAAGTTGTGCCGATTTTTTTGTGTCAACGGCCTCGTCATTTTAACAAATTCTTCTCGAAAAATAGGATTAGACAGTTGTGCAGCGCCTCCATTCATGGTACTAGATACCAAAAAGAGGCGAATGCGGAAATCCTATCGTGAAACTCTTTTAAAATCTGTAGGTGTCGATTTCATAGAATATCTTAAAGTAGCGAAGTAGTCAGAGACCTGATCGAAATACCAACGAAGGTGAAGGTTCTTCTTCGCTGGGAGAATCCAGAAGGTGAACCCTCTACAAAGTCAATTGACTCTCCGCCAATTGGACAAAGTGGGCAGAATGAAGATGCAAAGAGTGTCGTAGGTGGAAGCAACAATAGGAGTAGTACGGAAGGACTTCAACCGTCAATCCTGGATTCCTTTGCCAACCAATAGATTTTCATCATTGCAGTTTAAAAGGGAGAATCTTAATCACCAATTTTGAAACCGATCTAAGAATTGGAAATGTTCATTGCGTGGTTTTTTCTTCAGTCCAAGAAATATAATGCATCGGACGTGGGACGAATCGGTCAGCCTCTTAAAAGCACGACAAAATTTCTTGATAAATTTTCATGAAGCCATTTTGCTAACTTTAAGGCGAAAAGTTTTGTAATCCTCATTCCATCTATTTTTGAATTCGACCAATGTCACTCACTAATGACTCTTCAGTAGTAAGTATTTGGTTCTGTGAATCCATTTGTTGTAGATATTGATGCAATTTGAATTTAGCTATCTACATCACCTTCCTCAAGTAGCGATTTCATTTCAGGTGACCGTAGGAGACTTGCCAGGCATTCGATGGGAGGAGAGAGGATGGCAACTGGCCGATTCCGCTGATTTCGGCGACGATGACAGTACCAACACTGATGACGGTCGTCTGCGTCGACGAAGAGTTATTTTTCCCGGTAATACTAATGGAAACATCTTTTACCTTCATCCCACCACTACGTGTCGTGAGGCGCTGCACATCCTCAATGTTGCGTGGAGTAGAGCCGGGTTGGCTTGTCTTCCGGTGGCTGCTGAGAACGGAAAGGGATTCCAGGGCATGTTCAACAAACACGATATCCTTGTGAGTCTGTTTAAACTCAACATTTGTTTTTAAGTAGTACCTTCACTCATTCATTTGATGACGCCTTCCTGCGACCTTTTTTGCGTCGTATCCAGTCGGCGAAGAGCGGGGTTTTTCCTCTTTCAATGTGTATTCCTCGAAACAACGTCTGAGTCTCTTTGAAGTTTCAATCAATACTGAAGGTGACATCGACAACATGTTTCCTTTTCCCAGGGAACGATCTTTGCTGGACCTCTGGAAGTCGCCTTGAACGCCACAATTGGTACAATAATGGCGGTCCGTCCTAGAGTAGGTTAACCATCTATTATTCAACTTACCACGCCTCTTCAGGAGGACCTTCACTTTCGATATTGCGTTTTTTAGCACGCTGGGTACACAAACCAGGCAATGTGTTTCACCTCCGAGTGTCTTGTTGCCGTTCTCGACCGAATGTTCCGTCAAAAGGTGCGTTCCACCCCTTTAAGTCACACAGCACTGCCACCTCACAACAGTTCAGTAACAGGAATTTCGCGTCACAGGCTCCGTGTCTTGCGGTATTTGAGAAGCCGAGTCCGGGCGCCAGCTGGAACGGCCAGGGCGCCCTAGGACCAGCTGTTGGGGTTATAACTTCAAGTGACCTTCTCCACACAATCGTCCTTGACGCACCAACTCCTCCCTCCTCTGCCACTTCCATTGAGACCCACGACGATGTTCCTGTGCAAAAGGGAGTGACTGCCAAGGTCACTGGGGGTAAAAGTGCAACTTACGGTGGGAGAAATAAGCGGTTTTCACTACCGGGTTTGGATTTCTAAATTACCACATTAATTTTGACACTGGAAAGACCTTCAGTAGATGTTTTCCTTGGTGGTTTTAGTAGATCAAATTACGGCGAACTCGGTGTCGGGACCACAGGTTACCTCGCCGTTTGGAAATCAGCAACATGGCCTAACACGAATCTTCCATCGCTCGAAGTAAGTCAGTTAAGTAGTTCGTCAGTAGTATGTGTTCACTCCCACCATTATTCAACGCGACCCCTGTCTGGCGGACAATTAGGCCTAAGAGCAGAGAGACAGGCGGCCAAAGAGCGGATTCTGTCCACTGTGTAGCGCTGCGATGGTGGACTGAAGGCGTCCACGTGTCACATAGTTCCCCTCTGTCTCGCGTCAGTGGATCCACTGAAACCACAAAGATCGTGCTATTCTCTCCCGTCAGTTTCGATGGGACTCATGTGTGGGAAGGGTGGTTGATATCCCACAGGGAGTAAAGCCAGTACACCGATCTTCGTTTACTTTAGACGGTATTCAGAGGGTGAAATCTCCCCCCTGGAGGGTCCCTATGCGGCCACCACTAACAGCCATACCCAACGGTCTCAAATGCACCAACCAGGCCGAGGCACCCAACGTCCCACCGAGGAGACGTCTCCAGCCAATCAACAACAGCAGTTGCACGCAGTCGACGATGGAACGCTCTTTGAGATGGACGAGTGTGTGTAGGGGACGGAGGGAGGCAGCCAGGCAGGCCATGGACCGTATTCTACCGATGTGCTTTCCTTGCGGAGAAAAGCCCACAACTTTCTCCGACAGCCTCTCCCTAACCCCACTAACTCCACCAGTCTTGCGATTGGTAAATTGATTATTCTGACCGACGGATTGAATCCCCACGCACCCCATCTTTGCAAAAACGTCCATTTTTAAATGCCTGTTTAAATACTACTTAATGTGTACACAGTCGAAGAGCTCTCTTGACAGGGTTGCGTGGAAAAAATAGTAGTTTTACAGTTCTTGGAACCCTCGAGACCACGTGTCTGCATTCAGACGTCTTATGGTGGAAGGCCACGTGTGTTAGGAGCAATCATGATCGTGCTGGAAGCAGAAGGATAATGGTCTTTGTGCAGGCGGAAGCTGGCACTCTGGACCTACTTTCCGACGTATCTCCCTTCTTGCGTTGAATGCCTGAAAAGCACCTCCAGCACGGAGGCAACTGGACCGTCCTAGAAGGGTACCCTTCATTTATTCGTCCACTCTACGCTGGAATGATTGACTGTTTGCCATCTCCACAGAAGAGTTCTTCAGGTGCTGAATGTGCACGGTTGACTGTTGTGGCCTGGAAACTGCCAAGATCGAGATCACCCCCGGCGTCTTTTACTGCTGAATGACTGAGCGTCGCATCCTCGCCTTATTCCACGCTTGAAGCCTTTAGACGAATTAGAAGTGAATGGACAAATGAGGTGGCTGGATGATTTCCATTTGAACGAATTGACTTGCGACGAATAAGAGCTATGTGGTCTCGAGACGAGGGTCCCTAGAATTGATTACTCTTAGATGGATGAATGGACCAGAAATGGGGGAATCCAGGAAGCGAGTGGATGAGTGAGAGGCGAGGGGATTTGGGATGGTCGAGTTGACACAACGTCGACAAACCTAGGCGTGAACGAAGGTCTGGGATAGATTGCCACGCAAGTGAATCTATGGGCGCGTGAGTCGATGATTTCCACCTCGCAATCGAATTGGGACGTTCCATCCAAAACTTAAACAAGAAGACGGGAATGAGGAAGCCTTTATTTACGGCGCGTCTAGGAATCCGCGCTTTCAAACTGCCCGATGTAAGCACAGATCGCAAGTCGCCTTCCTCTCACCCAGTAATCCTCTACCACCACTTCCTCCCGTCCCTCCACACTTTCCAGATTCTCTCCAGTCCATCCGAGTTTAAGCACCTGTCCCAACGCACAGTTACGTGGTAGGTACACCGCAATTCTCGGGCGTGCCGGAAATAGACCTCTAGCCGCCACTATTGCTTCCGTCAGGCTGGGAATATTCGCCGCAAGGTCATAGACGCCATCATCTTTGGCTGCTCTCATCTCGGCAATGATGTGCTGGCGCCGTCGACGCTTGTTCCAGCTGGCAGAACCGGGAGGGAGGGGACGGTGGTGGGGATAGGTGGGACCCCCCCATGGGGGTGACATGAAGACGGTATCGACGCAAGCGTCAGTACGCAAGGCGCGGAGAATGCGTGTGACATCGCCACAGACGCAGTCAACGCGGGACGAGACGCCATAGACGCGGGTGTTTGGAGTGAAGATGCCAGTTAGACGATCCAGACGGTTGTCGATGCCGATGACTAGGAAGAGGAGGAAGGGGGAGAGAGAAGGTGACAAAGAGAATTCAATCGCCCAAAATTTGGAAGTAGTCTTTCCTTCGACTAGGGCATCATTTTTCTAATAAAACATTCAATCACCCAACTGACAAATCGTTCATCAAAAAGCTTGAGCATTCATTTGTTCAGCAGTCCTTCTAGCTACGCCTAATCCATCTACCCAACCTGTTCCAAACTGACAGGAAAGTGGCGAGGGGAAAGCAGTATCTGGAAGTAGTGAAACCACAGTTTCTCTAGGCAAAGCTACACTCTATGAGAAGGGGAAGCGGGTTCCATGAAGACAATCAAATATTCGTCCGAGTTTGCGAAGAGTGTTTCGAGTTCTAGGGGTGTAGACATTCAATTCGTTTGGGACTTATGAGTGTCCAGTCTCACCGCAATAATGTCTTCTAACAATCTCATCAAGTTCCTTCCAACGTGTGCAGGCTCACAAGGATCGGACGTGCTTTAGGTGGTAAAATCGTGAGACGTAGGGCTATCGTCCAGGTCACTAGTACCTTTATCAGAGGTAATCTGATCTCCGGTCAATATAACTGACTATCCAAGGGACATGCGCTGGAGGGTTTGGTGAAAGAGAATCAGAAACTTCCAATTAGGGTCAGAAAAGGTAATAGCCGTCAAATTTATGTCAGCGAACCCGATTTACGAGTCCATAACTCAAGAATATCACCGAGTTCACTCAAGGGCTGAAGTGGCCCGCGAATTGTCGGCGCGAATTAAAACAAAACTACCTCAGCTAGATGATTAGTTCATCCTACAATTGCGTTAAGGAAATCAGAAGTGCGTGCTCCAAAAAAAACCAAGAGGACGAGTGGAAAATTGAGGAAGACCTACCAAAGCCGCAGGTACGCGCAAATTGGATGGAGTTCCCTCCAGCTCCAGCATACGCGTCCACCATTAAGTCGCATGTGCAGGTTTTCGCCTGATTCCTGGCAATTTCCTCCGGCGTCACACTGTACCATGACTCTAGACGAAAGACCTATCAAAGGTACGGGAAGAAACGGCCCACCTCTGTCCATCTGGATACCCTCATCGAACCGCTCAAAGAGGTCAAACCGGCGTTTCCACCAGCGGAGTATCTCTGGATCACGCATAACATCCTCATGACCCTTGAATCTGAACTGTGATTAAAGAGAAGTCACCCACTTTTTGCGCCGTCTTTTTAAACTTCGTTTGGATTGAGACTGGGGGGAGCTAACCTCTATAGAAGACGATGGGGCTTGTAAAGTTGACTTCGGGGAGATGTGGGGTGTTTCAGAGCAGCCGTCGCTGTCAGAAACGTCGGAGAGGGTGTCGATGGGAAAAGCGGTCATTGTGAACTAAGGAAGGGGGTGAACGTATACATGGACTACAAGGATTAAGGGAAACATCCTTTCAGATTCAAGCAGTAAAATAGAATAATGCTGGCTGATGGGGCATTGGCTTACATGGAAGTAAAATTTGGTATAAATTTATGACTATTCAGAGGGAAGGGCTGCGACACACCAGCCGTCACTTTACAAATCGCGCACCAATGACCTTATTATGTGTTGTCCGTAGAAAGATCTGGATTTATCCCCAAAAAGACCTACTTTTATTTTAAATGGTCACTGATATGCAGTTGTTTGATAAACATACTTTTAAGTCGGAATTTAACCAAAAAATATGGCAAATTCCTAATCCACAAGTGGCAAAGTAAGGTTAACATGTTCATTCAAAATACATAGGTGGTGCATCAGCAAGTCGAGTAGCATTTAAATAAGTTCAAAGTTCATGAGCGGTTAAGTTTAAAAACTGTCAGAAAGTGAGTATGAGTTTAGTACCAACTATGACTGATTTCGCAGTACACGTAGAGCAACACACATGGGGTAATAATATGGTCATAAGGATAAGAATAAGCCCGTTATGAAAAACAGGTGAATTGCACTTTTAAAATGCAATAGAATTCAGACCAACCCCTTCCAAAATAAAGAGGTGACCTCCCCTACCACTCAAAGTTATGACTTAACATCCCAAAAAATTGATTTGAAGAGAAAATCCTAATTGATGGGATGTGGGATGAGCGCCTAAAAACCAAAAAGGTAGCAAAGTATGTGAACACGTCAAAACTCTACTCTTGAAAGTGAGTCACAACTAATTTTGACCCATAGATTTAGTCCGGGTATGGCGAAGAGAAATAGATCTTAGTGTAATACGATGGTGGTTTAGCCCTCGATATTGGTGAGGCGTCACTTTTGTACTTCGAATTGGTCCCCTTGTACCTCGCTGGGTGGGCTGGCCTTTTGGGCCATGCCAATAGCCCAGACACCTTCTCCG